TAACCCTAACCCTAAATTTTATTAAAAGAAATTATACATAGGTGCTAAAACACCATAGGTGCGTTTTATAATAATTGCCAGAAAATTTTTGCCAATTGAGAGGATTTACAGGATTAGTATCTTATTATCATCATTTCATAAAAGGTTTTGCTACAATAGCATAACCGCTTCATATATTATTAGAGAAAGATGGTTCTTACAAATGAAAAGAAGATCAACAAAATGTGTTTGAAATGTTAAAAAGATATTTGATGATGGCATTTATATTAAGATATCTGGATTTTAAAGGAATATTTTACCTACACACTGATGCTTTTGGTGTAGGGTTAGGAGCTATCTTAGCTTAAAAAGATAAAGACCACAAGGAATATATAATAGCTTATTCAAGCCAAGGACTCTCCAAAACTGAATGTAATTATTCAGCCCTAGAAGTGAAATATCTAGCCTATAGAATAGGCTATAGAACACTTTTACTATTATTTAGGTGCTAAATATTTTATTTTAATTATAAACATAAAATTACATTATTTCAACAAATTCTACTTTCATAATCTGCTATTTCAATACTTTTTAGTAATACAAGGGTTTAACGCTTTTAAAGGTTAATAATACTCTTTTATAACATTAAATAATTATGAAATTATCGTTATTATTATCGTTGCGGGTATTGCCAAAGATCGTAGATTTAGAAATTCAACATGATATGTCGGGCTTTGTGGCTTATGCGCCATCAACCTGGCACGCATTGAAGAATTACAAGGTTACTACTACTGCATGAAACTTTCTGCTCGAAAAACTGATTTCGAACTCCATTTCTGATGAAATATGTGATATGCGTATATGTACATTTGTGGTCACGTTTTATGTATATCATACGTGCGTCATGCAACCAAAATTCGATCTGTTGATTTTGATAGCGTGCCTAACCTATCTGATACGTATGCATAAAACGTAATCACATATATGCACATCACATGTCCACTCTATTTCGTCCATTCTTTCCACTCTTGGTATAATCGATTATTAGTATTGGTTTGATCTTCATTGTCGGAATCATATTTCCCAAATATGTAGCGGTAGATCACGTTCCTGAAACACACATAGATCATTTTAGCCAAATAAATAAATCGGTAACTACAGAACTAAGATTCTGACAGAAAAAAGAAAAAACCTTTGAGCTGAACTAAATTAGTCGACATACATAAAAGAATTTTTATATACATGGTGCAATCAATTTCTTAATATTGGATAACGCTCAAAAAGAATTTTCCACATCATGAGTGTACGCGTATGACAAAATGGGTTGTTTTACTTTCATGGGTTATTGGGATCGCAGTAGAAACTACGTTAAATTTATTAGCGTTAGCAATTTTTTATGTTTTTGGACAAAATAATGATCGCGGACTATTGCTTTTACAGTATATAGCTTACAATTATTAAAGAATGTTTTGAGTATTTTAGATGTGGAGAACAAATTATATTACCATTTCAAACGCTTTAGCTACATCAATTCTTAAAATTTTAATAACAAAGTTCTGTTGAAATAACACTATTTTATAGTACTTAAAATTCGAATGAAAATTTGATGAAAATGAAAAACAAAAAAAAAAAAGTTTGAAGACTTAGAATAAAATTTTTAAAGTAACTTTGTTACAATAATTTAAGATTGTTTCACGATAAATATTCTAGAAAAGTAATACAATTTTTTGTTCTCCATATCTAATAATAATACGAGCTATCCCGATCATCACGTACGCATTATCGTTATACGTCAAAAATAGATTTTTACACATATGGTTTTGATCTGCCTACAGTTCAGCAGTATAAAAGGGGTGATTTTATCCGCCTGAGATTTTATCATTATTCACAAAATCATCAAATAAATCAAAAATCAAGCATACTTACTACAAATAAAATAAAATGTTTTCCAACTTACCCAACGTTTTTTTGTTCATGCTATTATTATTCACTTTAGCATTAACCTACGATAATTTTCATCAAGTTAATTTAAAACTGGAAATGGTCCAAAGCATTTTGTCTGAAAATACAAAATATTTTTATTTTATTCTTATATGCCTATTCACTCTTTGGCACAAAATTGATTCAACATCACGAACTGAAGCTAAAAAAATTGAAGCTATATTGGCTCTTAATAATGAAATACGTAATGACATTACTGGATTACGCAATGATATCACTGGAATACGCAGCGATATCACTGGAATACACGAAAACATTACTGGAATACGTAATGATATTACCGGAATATGCAGCAGCATTACTGGAATACGCAACGACATTACTGGAATGCGCAACGACATTACTGGAATACATGATGACATTAATAGAATACGTGGAACATCCAATTTTAGTTTTGCATACCTATATATTCTTTACCACAGAATCAATTCAATATCCCAAACTGAAACCGAAAAAATTGAAGCTATATTGGCTCTTACTAATGAAATACGCGACAATATTAATATAATACATAATACATCCCGAACTGAACATAAAAAAATTATATCAGAACTTAGCATCAACATTAATAGAATATGTGAAACATCCAAAAAAGAAAATGAGGAAATTGGAAAAACTTTATCAAATCTTACATCAGATCTTCGTAAAGACATTAATGAAATACGTGAAATTAAACTAAACCATATTTCTCAAGGTATATCATGTAATTATAATGTTATTTATAACTCATATGCCAGTATATTTCAAGCTAATTTTCAACTTTATTATTTAATAATAGCAGGTTTAAATCAGTTTTCAATCACAAATAGTATAAACACAAGACAAATCTCTATTTGCTATGATACAGAAACGCTTCGGAGCAAATTTAAGTCCCTCGTTGATCAAAGAAAAGAAAGGGATAGATTATTTCTCGATTCAATATTTGATGAAGTAGCTTCGAAGGTTAATATATCTAAAAGCACTGTGTATAATTTTTATCATCATCGAACAAGTCCGCGAGAAACTACAAAGAATGAAATTTTGAAATGGGTCAATGGAGAAGTAGGAAGAAATAATAATTTAAACAATCATTATAATTCTTCATGGGTTCTAGCAAGTTAAAGGACTATTTTTACTTATTTATGCATTTACAGTGTTAGGTACTGTACCTATTAAGTCAGATGAGAGAATGATAGATACTATAGAATAGTAACATCTATGAATTTGAGTAGATTATTTTAAATATATCGATTTATAAATAATGTCATGTTCACTCGCTAAATCAATATCAATGAATTAATATTTTATATTAAATGCATCAATTAAAAATAATATTTCACACTTACCAAGAATATTATATAGTTATTGCATACGAAGTATGCAATAACTGCTGTATTTTATGGACGATGATGATTGGTTGGTAACC